GGTGACATGGAGGAAATGGTGTGAGGAAGAAATGAAAGCTTGTGGGCAATCATGTGGCTCCTGGTTGAAAAGACTGCGGCAAAGAGCGTGCAATGAAGGCGTGCTACTGAAGTTCTGTGTCCCACTAGAAACCCAAGGGAAGGAGAATAATAACAATATAATAATCTCTGTTTTGAAATCAAAATAAGTATGAATGTAGGCATTGTGAGAATCTATGCTTCTCTCCATTCTGACTAATGTTTGAGTCAATATGTAAATGTTACAGAAATGTAACGACCAGCTGGTTAGTAGGTCTTCGTTTAGCCTATAGGTACTTTTTTTTTACAGATGGGCATTGGTAAGCTTAGCGGTGACAATCCATCAAATTAATATAAGAATCTAACAGAGAAGAATAGAAGAAGCAGATGAAAATAGGAGCTAGTGATTTGACAAGCACAAAGAAAAATTTGCTTACCTTTAGTAATAATTCCGAATGATGAAAACAGGATAGTTTGGAAATTGAAATTCAAAAGTGTTGTATAAGTTTTAGTGATGCATTAACTAACCATTTTGATGAATAATGACATTTAACCTTAACCTGGTTATACCTTACATGACAAGCAATTTTTAAAAAAAATATATTATTTTCATTCATTGAAGTAATTAGAAAATAGTTTCTGTGACAAAATGTACTTTTAGCCTGTATCATATTTCACATTCATACTCATAATCACAATGAGGTTTTAATAATTAAATCTAGTCTATTGTGACAGCTATAAAAACATCATATATTGTTGGTTGATGAATTTTTTTTTTTCTTTTCTCGCCTCTGGTAAGCCAAACCGAGTAGTGTTCAGCAACACTTTTTCAGAGGGCCCGCTTACTTACAACGCCCAATATAGTCAGCTCCACAGGAGCATGTGAACTTGTAGATACACATAGATATGGACATAAGTGGAAGCCTGTCCTTCACGCATTGACGAATCAGACGGCGGCTGGAGAAAATCAATCTCAGTCTAGCAGCATAGAACCTACTATTGATACATCTTGACAGACGATTTTTCTGCACTTCGGCTGTGTTGTGTCCTTTGAATTCTAGATTCATGGTTAGGGACTGTAATGGGATGGGGAGTGTTTCGTTTCTTCAGATTCTTATCAATAAATCTCTCAGGGTATCCGTTATTAGATAGCATTATTCTAAGAGTTTCGATTTCAGCATCCACCGTATCTTCTGAACATACTCCATACATTCTGGGACACAGTGAGTGAATGAGTTTTCTCTTACAACTAAGAGGTACCCAACTATTAAAGTTAGTGAACTGACTGGTTCAAGTTGGTTTTCGATAGACTGACCTTTGAATGGAGCGATCATCCCTTATCTTTAACGTTACGTCTAGAAAGTGGAACGTTGGGTTTAACTCTTCCTCTGCGGTGAATTTAATGGACGGGTGACAATCATTGAAACGTCTTAGCAGCTCATTCACTGAACATGTTTCGTCGCAAATAAGAAAAGTGTCATCGATGATTTTTTTGTGGGGTAAAATGTTTTAGCATATTTACACGTTTTCATCTTATATGATATGAGATATATTGGGGGATGTTAAGAGCCGGCGATGAAATTACAGATATTATGTAATTTCGTAGACTTGCTTACTTCATAAAAAGAAAAGGGAAACGTCTATTTTTAAGGTATATAGTATTGATAGAAAATATAATAAACTTTATCACTCTTTTCATAAATATATTAGTTGTATATTTTGGAAATTGATTAGACAATTAAGGGGTCTTGCAGTATACATAATGGTTGTATCAGGTCAGGTAAGTTGGTTGATGAGGTTGTAAACCTTTATCGAATGAGATGGCTTGGACACGTACTGTGTAAACCGAGCCACTGTTTACTTCAACGTGCCATACTAAGGAAATATAGATTAGGTTGAAAGAAGGCTCAGCGTGGCTAGGAAAAGACTTGGTACCAGTCTGTAAAATCTCTAACTATTGGTGTAGATTGTGTAGGAAGGTATAGACTACCTGGCTGGGGTCGTCGAGATGACAAGAGTCAGTAGTTGAGAACTCTTGGTGATATGGTGCCAAATTAGTCACAGTGATGCAGATGTATTCACTCTTTGATGTCTTCTAACCGTTATCTCCAAATTGCTTATTCTCTCACACAACTCTTGACAACAGTCTTTTTCTGTACACCTATTCTTTATAATACTACTGTGAAGTGGAACAACATGAATCGATATGGTTGTGTATCAGGTTCTACGTTAATCTTTTTCTGTTTATCTGTCTAGTCAAATGAGTTCTATACGATTTGTAGTTAGACTATTATGGAAATTAGTGAATTCATTGTCAAACTATTGTAGTAAACTCCGAATATGGACGACCATGGTGATTATTGAAACTGAAATAATAAAGTAAAAAAGAATCGTAACCTAATTTGGAATATGAGTACAACATGACGAGACATCTGTATAGAATCTGAATACATTTATTTGGTGGATTCTCGTCAGCTGCATTACAAGCTACGAAGTATTATCTATTATTCTCAAGGAACGATAAAATAAACAATATACTTTCATAGATTTGATAAGGATGGGCTCATTTAGATAGAAATCGAAATGTACTTAGGAACCTTGTGCACTAGACAATGAGCTGCACCTATTGTGTAAGGGTTGATGACACTATCTGGTTGTTTGGACCTCGGTAGGTGGAGCGGGACTCGAACCAGTGGTCCATGGGTTGAAAGTCATCTCCTTAAATCAATGAACCACAGCTCCAATTTAAATGGATAACATGAATGTGTGATGATCAAAACTGATAAGATCCTATGGATCGAAGGCTACTCCAAGACTAACTATCTAGAGAATGATATAATACGTATTGTAGAGATAATAGAAGTTAGGAGAAGATTGTGAAATAGTGATATTCTTGAATGGGTAAAAAAAACTGATATCATTGATTGCATAAGCGTAGTAATGTCGCACAAACTCAAACATCTACAGACAAAAATCAAGTTGACAGAAGAGGCAGCGAAGACGTGACTTCAAGTGAATTTAGAAAAGATAGAGGTGATGAAGATACTCAACCAACAACAACAAGCACCAATCACCATCAACGGGAGAAAGCTAAAGGAAGTAGTCTATTTCACCTACCTAGACAAGTCAGCATCGTTTCAACTACAGTTGGCGGCGGCACAGACGAGGATGTCAAAACCAGGATCGGAAAGACAGCAAGACAGGTCTTCATCAATCTGATTTAATCAGTGTGGAGATCTGTTGCACCCCACTCAGCATGAAACATGAACAGCATCCGAATTTTCAACACTAATTTAGTCAAGTAAGTCAGTGATTCTATGTGATGGTTGAGAGGGTTGGCGGTGCGTTATGAAAAGCATTTCCAGAAAAGTGCAGACATACATCATTAACAGCTGCCGCCTACGCTCACTCCATACTGACACTTAAGATCAGATGGATGACTAGAATAGTAAGAATAAGCAAGGAACGAGGAATTCTGACTGGCTGGCAATGAACCAACCAAAATCCTATCGCCCAACAAATATGCAGAAGGCAGTGGAGATGGATTGGATTGGACAGATACTAAGAAGACCATTCGGTAACATCACGTGCCAGGCCAACCAGGGACTCGAGTGAAAGCCAAAGTGGAAACGTCAAGTTGGGCGTCTGAGTCGAGGGTGACATGGAGAGGATGGTGTGAAGAAGAAATGAAAGCTTCTGGGCAGTCGTGGCGCCAGGTTGAAAATACTGCAGAGAACAGACTGCAATGGCGACGTGTTACTGAAGTCCTATGTTCCACTAGGATCCCAGGGGACAAATATTTTAATAATAATAATGATATGTTAGCATTTTTCCATTCTATTGTGGACATCCTAGTGAGTTTTGAAATAGATAGAAGAAGCAAATGAAAAGAAGCCATTCTGTTGTGAAGTTACCAACAATACAAAACAAGTTTAAATCTTCCAACTGTCTCATCGAACTGTAAGCAATTTGTGGATTTCATTTGTTTTCTGACTATTCTGAACAAGTTTGTTCCATCGAACATTGTATCTACTTTGCATAATTGTAGTTCGCTAAAATAATGATCATCAGTAAGTCGCTTAACTGATGAGTAGTGTTGGTTCGGTTAGCTAAGATGTAGCGCAGGCCTACACAATGTCTCAGGATATATATATATATATATATATATATATATATATATATATATATATATATACTTGTCCTTAAAGGTGAACTAGTGGTTTATCTAGAAGCCTCACTGCATATCTCTTGAGTTTATCATTGTGCTTATATGATTGAATACCTTGATGATACTTAGTGTGCTAGTAGTAGTAATAGTAGTATTAGTTGCTGCAAGGGAGACTAGGTAGTTTGGCTGTACAACTCATCAACAAATAATGTACAACAACAAGTGTACCAGCTATCATATAACATATATGGCCTTAACAATATCACTTGAGTTCACTATTCTCTCTGTGATAAACACACACACACACCTCTACTCAAACTCTATTATTCCAAATTTCTTATTGGTTTCATTTTTAGTCATTGTGCTCATAGTCCACGATGATTATTGGTGTTTATCGTTTTATATATATATATATATATATATATATATATATATATACGCAGTACTGATCGCCATAATTGTAATAATAATCATTAGCCATTAGCCATACTACTATTATCAGACCTATGGTTTTCCATCTGTTACGATATATATATATATATATATATATATATATATATATATATATATATATATATATAACTATATTCATTGTGTATATAAACCTACTAAGTATTTGGAAACCGTAATGGTTTTGTCTAGACTGTCTTTAATCGCCGTAATCTACACATGCATAGTTACCTTTTTATTTTGTAAGACTAGGACTGTAGGACTGTTATCACTACTGTTAAATATACAGTTTTGGCGTTTTATAATCGTTGGATTACAGTACTCATCAAAAATTTATCTTCTATTTACTTTTTTTTCTACACCAGCCTGTTAGTACAACTTTGAAGTCAATGAGTTTATCATCTTCATCTTTATCCTCTTTCTCTACGGGAATGTGTTCTTCCAGTGCAGATTTTGTTGACCTAACAAATTCAGATCCAAAACGTCTACGTTTATCGTTTACAAATGTCAACAATACACATGGTGGAGTTAGTGGTTGTAGTCAAAACAGAATATCAAATGATTGTCTGACTAATTATCAGTTTACATCCTCAAATCATTCGCATAATCAATTTCCACAACATTATCAACCTAATAATCATAATAATGACGCTAATAATGGTAATCGAATTCGTACAAATATTGACACGTCTCCTCTAATATCATCTACTACGACAACAGCAATGTGGTATCCACCAAGTTTTGGAACTACTGATCCTTCTGAACAGTCTTATCGTTCACCATTACCATCATCGTCGGCGTCGACAGTAACTGCATTACATGAGTCTTTGATGAATGAATCTCCTAGTTATCTACAAATTATGGATAGAAATTTCCATTCTGTACTGAAAGACCCTTCTCAGACATCAGGTGTTGTCTATTCAAGTTCTAATGTGACATCATCTCCTTCATCATCATCCTCGTCGTCAACACCATTTTTGCGCTCATCAAATTTTGGACTACAATGTATTACTGGCAATGGTGGTGGTATTGGTAATGATGGTATTAACAACAATACATGTATTATTCCTACGGTTGGAACAGAGGCTAACACTGTGAATACTTCTCCTGTAATAGCTAGTAATGCTTCACGGCAATGTTTACATTCCGATAATGCTGTTCCTTCTCCGCCTTCTCTTTCCCTTCATCAACAACACAATTCAAGATTATATTTAAATTATAGTCAATCACAGTCGGATTTCTGTAGTCCTGTTGTGTGTTGTAAATCTGAGTCCATGTTAAATTCAATTGGTAATATGCTTAATACTTCTGTTGCTTCTACAAGTAATACATGCTTGTCTTTCAATTTTGATAAGACTGGTGCATGCTTTCCCAATGAAAATAATATTCATAGTAATCATGTGTACTCATCAACCTCCTCAATAAATAATCATTATGAAAGCTTACAACATATAACACCTCTTCTTCCTCCTCCTCTCCGTCCTCCTCTTTCCAATCGACATTACTCCAATGAAAGTATGATAAACACTTCTACAACACGCATAACAATGATGAATTCCACTTCTGTAACTACAAATGGTTCTTCTTTAAACTTGATGTATCAATCCAACTCATCCAATTTTGTTGATGTAGAGTCGATGAAAACGGATCGTGGTGAATTTGATGTTGGAGGAGGAGGAGGAGGATCAAGTGAATCAGAGATATCTAGTGATTATGCTGGTGCCAGAGGTAGTGGAAGTAATTTTCAGTGTAATAATCTCAACAATACCAGTCATACTATGAATAGAGGCTATGCATTAATACAGAATGATTTATTAATTGATAAAAAATTTGATTGTAATAACAATCATCATGAAATTTCAGAGAATGATTATTTAACAGGTGATGATAGTGAATTGGACGATGGTGTAGATAGTGTTGATGATGATGAGGATGATAATGAGGATGTGAATGAATACGAAGATGATGATGATGATGATACCGAGGATGATACTGATGATGCAGATGGTGATTATGATGAACAAGAGGGTGAGGAAGATGAATTAAGTGGTGGTGGAGGTGGAGGAGGAAGCAGAGACATTCTAGATATGTCTGAAGGAACTGGTCAATCTAGCTTCACGTGTTCTACATCATCTTATCATAAATCAAAATATGAAATGGATTCAAATCTTGTTGGAAGTAATGTTGCTCATAAAAACGCTAGTACCAGTCCTACCACTGCTACTACTACTAATAATAATAACAGTATTAGCAACAATAATGAAATATTAATTAGTGATTTTACTACACACAAAAATTGTTTCCGATTCGGACAGATATTTACAACATCAGTGGAACATGAATATAAAGTTGTTGAATTAGTTCAACAATTTATTCCGGTGAGTTATATAATCACTTGTCGGCTGTCATTTTATTCTTTTCATACTTATATCTACCTATTTTAGTACAGACTCTCAGACAATAGTCGCAACTGCCTTCAGTTTTTGCGACAGGGCCGCATTTAAATTGCCTGTTAGAGAGAGAGAGAGAGAGAGAGAGAGAGAGATATGTTCTTGTGATGTTCAGGTTGAATGAAGGCGCCTATCTCCATTATTATGAACCAGTAGTAGTTGAGTTAGGAAGTATTCATCGACTTGTCCACTTTTCTGTGACTGTACTAACGATAATACTCTCGAGACAGGCCTGAAGTAGATGTATGATTGTAGACCTAATATCCCGTAAGGGGATTTTTGATCTCAAGTATGCAGACGGTATCGTTTTACTGTGTAACAACATACGGTCTATTCGAATAGCACTCAGTCAGTTGGTATGTGATTCACACTGTGTGAAAAGCTTCCACAACATTAGCAAAAGTTTATGCTTACACTTACCCTTCGCGATGAACAGTTGAAAGTTGTCGAAAAAATGGTCTACCTTGGCAGTTTAGTGTTAGTGCTGGTGAATGTTTTATTCGTGAGATTTCCATTCCTATACTGAAATGCAGAATGGCACATGCCAGTTTACATCACGTTTGGTGTCTTTGTGATTTACTTTTATCGATATAAATTCAGCTTAACCACGCTTCGGGCCAGTAGTTTTGCTTTACGCCTATGAAATTTGGCACTTTTTAGATGAGGATGTCAGGCATCTCTGCGTTTTCGACCACCTCTGTCTCCGTAAGCATTGCTCCTATCCAATGTAAACCCAATGTAATTCTGAAGTGAGACAGCATATGTTCGGGTATAGTGAAGGTGGTTATCATTGATTGCGGTCATCTTGAAGCACTACCAACAGCTCAGATATGCTTTCAATCGAAACCTGTGGTGTTTTTCTGTTACTTACTACTTAAGAATGAAACGCAAGTATTGAATTCGCCTTTGCATGTATTCTTAAAGCAGCTTCTTTAATGGTACAATTCCTGTTTTTTTATTCATTAATTCTTTTTTTGTGTGTGTCTTCCTGGTGTTACTTTATGATTTCGTAGAGCGTATCTCTTAATACATGTGTTGCACCAAGTTTGTGTCCTAAATGAAATAAAAATATTAAAATTACTACCTAGTGACTCAAGGTTTCTTGGAACAATAGTTGGAAACCGTCATTTTGTATATTTTGACCTGGATTATCAGATTATAAACTCTAGGAATATTGATTTTCATTGCAAATATACTAGTGGATTCATATTTTCAGTTAAACAACAAGATGTTGTAGAACAGTTGAAGTACCTAATGTATTATAGTAGAACTTTTGAGCACTGTGATCGAACAGTAAACAATACTGTTCCACACTGTGGTATATCCAATAAATTAATTTAAATGGAGTTGAAGTACATATTTTTTACAGATTGATGTCTCTGCCTCATTATTGATTATTATTATTATTAGAACAAAAGCACGGTGCAACAATGGCACCAAGAAATGGGCCACACAAAATAGAATAATAAAATTATGAAAACATAAACGATGGGTAGTGGCTAAATAAGAAAAACAATAAGAATAGCATGATTAGCAGTTCAGTAAGAATCATTCAAGCAAAACATCCATTACTTTTCAGCAGCAGAAAGCAGAAGGACGCTACAACATGGTCACCACTGGTTTCGATTCCGAGCCATATATGATAACGTCTCAAACCACTGAGTTGCATGATCTCTTGGACCCCATCCAGAGAGTCATGAGGCATCAAGAGATGCTAACCTGATAAAACTATTCTTCATCCCATGGCGCCACTTTATACACTGACCACCCCTCCACTTCTGCCATCCAGTTTTAGAGCTAGCAAACAATGAACGGTATGAAAGCCGTTAAGACGACATACGTAACACATATGTCCAAGCTACCAAAGCTGATGTTTGCGGATGACCTATTGAGTCTTGATCCCAAACACATGTCGTACCTCATAATTGCTTACATGGTGTTGCCACGGGATACGAGCAATCTGACGAAGACAACGAACACGCATACCTCATGCAGCCACTTGTATTCGTTGTACTCAGGGGGAAGCTCAACTTAAGTTTTAGTTTTCATGGGATCATATGTTCATTTATTCCAGCTTTGAAACTTGTGTTATTTTTCTCTTTTCTCACATGACTGTGAAATGTAGTCAATAAATTTGGAGAAAATCAGAAGGCTTCAACTATTCGATTACCGTTACTTTAGCAGCATACCTTGTGTGTCGTGGAACTGTCACATCAGTAACGCGGACGTTCGCTGTCGAGTTTCAAGTAGAAGACCCAAGTCAGTTAATGAAGCTGTAAACCTTCACCGATTCAAATAATTACTCACTGTCTAACCATTCGTGCAATATTAACTGAAGTGGGTTTATAGTTTGAGAAAGCGTTATAGGCGACCAGAAAGAAACATAGTAACAGTCCATGAAATCTGTTACTGTTGGTCTGAGCTGAGCCCTATGGGGAATGTAGGCTTCTCTATTATCATCAATGTGACAACCGAAATCAGTGGTTGGAGACTCCAGGTGATATGCCTCAGATGACAGACATACAAAGCCAACTTAAGACCTGGCTAACAAGTGCACTGGTTCAAGTTACCGCACTTCACAGTAGTATACAAAGAACAGGTGGGTCGAATAAAAGTAATATCTAAGTAGACAAAGCTGTTTAGAAGAACAAACGATTTGAAGATAACAGTTAGTGTAAATATCCAAGCTTTAGAAGACGTCATGGAGTGAATAAATCTGTGCCATTGTCACCGATTTACAGCCATATCACCAAGTGTCCTCAACTACTGACACATCTCGTCCCGGGGACTCCAGCCAAGCAGACATTTTACATCTCTTCACATGGCTCAGACCAACAGTTTGGGACTTCATCGACTGGTGTCACATCTTGGTCTGGCCACCGTGAACCCTTTTCCAACCCAATCCAACTTCCCTAGCCTAGCATGACACTTCGAAGTAGATGGTGGCTAGGCAGGGGTTGACAAATAACCAAGCCACCTCAGTCGATGAAGGCTCACTGATGTGTGTTGATGCCTATTTCAACGACAGGTATCATAGAGGTTGAACGTTTGTGTCTTGTTAACTTCTACCTCTTAAATCACAGAAACGATGTCCAATTGCCTCATAATGACCACGTTTACTGCATACTAGTGTGTCATCTGTTGCTGTGATTTGTAATCATTATTAAATCAACCTAGGTGGAGACAGAATGTGTGTATATAAACTATATAACGGTTATTCTGCTGAAATCGGTTAATTATTGTCTCGATTATATTGTAATTTGCCCGATGTTGGCTGGCAGTTAACTCCAGGGTATACATCTCGCTTTGTTTGAAACTCTCCAACTGGATGTACCTGCACCCTAGTATGAGTGATGTTCTCACTGAGACTCGAACCCACTACCCATCTCTCCAAACGCTGAGATGTTATCCACTGGGGCACGATAGTCATCTCTTTTGCAACTGGTATCATTGATATTTGTGATTTCCCATTGTTATTTTGGATAACACTGGCATTCGAAGTGATGGGTGCTGGGTTCGAATCTCAGTGGGAACGACATCACTGGGCAAGGTGAAGATACATCCAGCTGACGAATCGCAAATAGGACGAAACGCGCCTTCTAGATTCCACTGCTAGTCACTACTAAGCAAATTACAGCATAATCGATAATCAGGCAATATTGAGGGCTCCTCATCGGAGCTCATATGTCAACAGAGATCGATCAATTCGATCCGGTATAACAAGGAGAAATTATAAGTACCAATGAATATTGTCTAGATTACTTTGATGATTGTTTGTGAAACGTTTATATCATTAGTACTTCTTATGTTTAACAGTTCATTTCATTCAGATATCTATTTCACCAGTCTTTATTGCTATTCCCATCATCTGTGTATCATATCTATGACCTCGTTTTATTATTGTTCTCTACTGAAAGTCTCCTGATTTAATTATCAAAAAGACGTAAGGATCACTCATGTCAGAGCAAACTGAAGAGCATTTTTGAATTACATGCATTTTGAAAACATAATCTTAAGTAATGATATCCTTTAACTAAGAAAAATTGTCTTCTCATTATTCGTTTTGTTAAACATTTTCTTTTTTTCTTCTGTCTTTAGAAATTAAAATGTAGTCTAGCTGAATTGTGCTTATTTCTCAAATCCAAGAACCTTGAATCAATCGACCCGACTACTACTACTACTACTACTACTATTACTACTACTACTGCTACTGCTAACAGTAGTTGTAGTAGTACAAGAAATGAAGTCATTAGTGAATGCATAAATACTGAGCCTATGATGATGTTTGGTGGATCATGTATAGGCAATTTTTCCAACTCCCTTTTATCTTCATCATCATCATCACCATCATCATCATCGTCATCATCATCGCCTTTTGTACAAGATACACAGATACATAATAGTGATATTGATTATTCTCAGGGAAAAACAACTAGTCATATTGACTCAACTAACTTCAATGTGCCAATATTAAAAAAGGATACAGTTAACTATTTTCCTACACTTAGTACTGCTCAAATAAATGAAACTAATTCTATTCTCATTAATCCATACTTGGATGATTTATTGTCTTCCTTATGCTCATTATTAGAGACATGCTTATTTTATTTAGTTGATTGGATGGCTCAAATTGAACCGTTTAAAGTGTTACCGGTAAGTTATTATATTGTTGTTGTTGTTGTATATTTCTAGGATATAGATTTATTTCAAGTTGTTATTCATCATAGACTGACATCGGTTGGGGGAACAAAGGAAACCTGGGAGCGCTGAACAGCCGTTTCGTCCCAGTATGGGACTCCTCAGCAATGTGCACCTACGACCCCGCCAGGGATCGAACCCGAGACTTCAGGTTTCGTGACCAGCACGTTACCACTGAGCCACTGGGTCAGAATCCAATGCTCCATATTTCCAACTTTTGTTAGCTCAGGATATAGCGCAACCGCCACCCAATGTCATTGTTGAGTAACTATCCTCACGACCACCAGGCTTTGCCCCCACCGGTCGTGGATTTGATCTCTGGTGGGGTCGTGGGTGTGCACTGCTGAGGAGCCCCATACTAGGACGAAACAGTTGTCCAGTGCTCCCAGGTTTCTTTTGTTCCTCCAACTGATATCAGTCTACGATGAATAACAACTTGAAATATTTCCGAATCACCACAACTCCCTCAAAATTCAATAGATTTATTTTTGTTTACCTTTTGTTTATTACTGTTTTTTTTACTACAGCTGTTTAGGTTTGTTGTAGACAGAAAGAGTGATGACGACGAATGAGTTGATGTGGCAGGCTGTTTGCATGTCTCTGCTTGGATGTTTAGGTTATGTTACCATGTGTGTGTTCGTATTCGTCCGAGTTTAAGTTTGACAGATAAAACCTGAAGTAGGCCGTATTCAAGCATGATACATCTCTGTGAATTAGATCAGGTACATGAAGTAAAGGAGATATTATAGCCCATTTATTCAAGTAGTCAACTTTTGAGGAAAGGATCCTTACCTTAAATTTCTCTCCACTTACTTCCACTTGATCGAGCAAGTAGTAGTACTATAATCACTTATAGAATAAGTTTGGTTCATAGCCGTACTAGGCTACATTGCATTATTTTTCAAAGTATATTATTTGTTTTCTATAATTTCTCGTTTCATTTTATTACCACGAGCTATTTTATGGAAAGTGTTACCATCCAATATTCAACCTTGGGATCTGGGATTTGTCCATAACGGTCCACGTTACCGTACTTTTCATTGACAGTAGGTCAGTAAGATAAAAGTCAGACAGTAAGGGAGAAAGTTGTCAATGGTAGTAAAAAGTCACAAAAGGAGAATAAGAAGATGAGGTAAAGCAATAGAGAAACTAGATATGATATGCGTATGTGGATGGACATGTGCTACGCATGCTGTCATTGCTTACCTCGAAGTCCTCGTGCTAAGGGGAGTTGGACTAGGTTGGCAGAAGAATTAAGATCGCCAGACCAAGATATGGCATCAGTGGATGAAGTCTAACTGTTAGTCTGAGTCGTGTATGAAGAGATGTGTGGACTACCTGGCTGGAGTTCCTTGGACGATTATAGTCAGTGATTGAGAACTCTTGGTAAGATGTTTAAAAATAGATCACAGGGGCTTATATATACTTACTCTTTGATGTTTTCTAAAGCTTGAATATTCGCACTAACCTTGATCTTCAGATTATTTATTCTCTTACACTACTTTATCTACTTTGATATCACTCCTATTCTATCCACCTGTTCTTTGTGTACTACCATGAAATGTGGCATTTTGACGCGATACACTTGTGTGTGAGGTTCTACGTTGATTTTGTCTATCTGTCATCTATTCCACTGACATCGATTCTGAGGCATAATACTTAGTCTCCAGCTATTGATTTTGGTTGTTACAATGACCCTGTTAGGAATGCATGTATCCCTTATATTCCATACTTATTAACTGTACATTTTGAACTATGTTTCTTCACAATCTTTTTCCTGCATTTCGGACTCATTCTATATAAGCCTCTAACGTTCTGATTGACTCCCATCTCTTTAAATGTACTAATTATTCCTTAACTCTCAAGGTTACCATTGACTGTATAAATAGGGTCTTCTGATTTTCTCCTACGAATCACTCGGGTTGAATCGTCTCAACCCACAACTCTCAATCTTTAATTATTATCGTTCGTTCTCCCAACTCCACATCATAACCGACCGCCCTCTGGAAGTCTATATTTCTTCACAAAGCTCAAACTAACGGTAATAGACTTTATGAACTGATACTAGTCACCTATAACCCTTTCCCAAACTAATCCCATGTGAGTAAATATTGTGCAACAGATTAGACGGTGAATAGTTATCTGAATCGATGAAGGTCCATAGCTTCATCATCTGATTTGTTTCTTCTAATTCGAACTGCATTCTGGATTTCTACGTTACTGGTGTCTTTGTTCCACTTCACACGAGGTATATTACCAAGGTGTAACGGTGATCGAACGTCTGAAGCTTTCTCATATCCTCCGATTTTAATGGCTAACTGAAGAATATTGATATTAAACTTTTGAGCTTTCTCACATATTGTTCCACTTACTCAGATATACACTGGATACATTTTAGTCTTTATAAAACTGATGGAGGTTGAATTTAAGCATCTATAAACTATTACTTATTATAACAAAAGTTAGTAAAGTTTAAATTAGCATCTTTCATGTTTTACTGTTTACTATCCCTGGGATAATAATAATAATAATAATAATAATAATAATAATAATCACTTTATTCCAAGCAAGTTCTAGTACAAGTCAGAATTCTCAGCATGCTATATTGCATATAATATACTTGCTAGGTAAAGTACGGTCAAATTCTTGTACCTGGCTGTAAGAGCATTCAGTCTTATGTAGTTTTTTGCTGTCCTCCCCGAGGAGATACATGGGTAGAGGTTTGAATGATGAAATAGATACTCAATGTCAGTTAAAATTACTGCTAGAATTTCAATGTCTGTCAACTACAGTGTTATTCAATTGCACTAGAGGTACAGCACTCATCCTACTGACAGCTTTCAAAGCCCTACACAATATAACATAATCCCTTATTAGTAGACCAAGAAAGATCAATGGGGAACAATATAGAATAGGTAGACTGCAGGAATTAATAAGCTATGAAAGTAAAGAGTCTCAGTTTCTTGATGTAATACATTAAACGGAAGATAGTTAACACTCAATTTACTTTCTGCAGAAATACCATCGATGCATCAGGTGTCATGAAATTTAAACAGCTCACATAAGTCTTGTTTATGCTTGAGGCTAAAATTAACAGTCTAACATTAAGAAGAGTTTAGTTTAAGACCATTTGCCAACTTCAGACAAGAATCCATTTAATTCAAAGCAATCTAAGTGAGAGTTAATTGGTATAGAAACCATCAAGTCATCAGCATAAAATTAGTTTCAATAGAATAGAATAAATCATCCAAAAGGAACGAGAACAGAAACAGAGCAAGTGCTGTTCCTTGAATCACATCAGTTTCAATAAGCAATGAAGTGGAGCGCCTTCCTTTATAAGATAGTATACTGTTTCCTTTCAGAAAAATAAGAATACAGCCAATGTGTAATTCATATCTTAGCATGAGCTATGAAAACGTCAATAGGGTGTAGAATTTCATAATGAAAAAAAACTAGGATGAAGACAGTATGTGTGTAATTGTTTTAACTGATTCCGCGTTCACTGTAACGTATCATCAGTCCACCCATTCACACTTTTTTTTTGTTCATCACTTTCATCTATTACAAAAATAGAAGATCATTATGCATGGTAGATTTTGTTTTTCGTTATTCATTGCTCCAAAATCTCGCTCTCTCTGCCTCTGTCTCTTAGATATTATTTTTTCTATTATTATCAAATACCATGAGTTTACTTCCCATTTTTAACGATTATTATACCTATTGTTATTACCGTTCTTCGTGTTGTTTTCATCGTTGTTATAACTACTGTGATTGACTTTGACGAAGAGAAAAACACTTGCTTACTTTTTGTTTGTTTTATTGATCTGATTTTCCGTGTTTTCATTTGCCTTTTTTGACTTTTGTACGTGCATATATATATATATATATATATATATATATATATATATATATATATATATATATATATATATATATATGTATTTGTGCTCACATATCTCTTTGTAGAGATTGACAATGAGAGCATACTTTTCCCTTACTGCCCTCTCACGGATTTTCTTGCCTCAATTGTATTAATCATTATTAATACTGATGCATAGTGGCTAGCAGTGGAATCCAGGACGTAAATTTCGTCCCATATGGAACTTGTCGTCTGGCTTCCTAATAAGACTTGAACCCGAGATGGATGACTTTAAACTCCGGGTCATTTCCATTGGTAACCACTATCCATCATTACTATGAAAGTGAAACGATAAACAATATCGAGACAAATCCATCCAAAAACCCATATGCCAATATTATTATTTTTCCCCCTTGGGTTCCTAGTGGGACATACGGCTTCAGTAGTACACCTCCATTGCAATCTCTTCTCTGCAGTCTTTTCAACCTGGTGCCACATGATTGTCCACAAGCTTTCATTTCCTCCTCACACCATCTCCGCCATGTCACTCTTGCCTCGGACGCCCAGCTCATCGTTTCCCCTTTGTATTCCACTCGAGTGCCTGGCACGTGATGCCCCTGAATGGTCTTCTCAGTGTCTGTCCAATCCAATCCTAACCATCTCCACTTTCCTCCTACATATTTGTTGGGTGATAGATTCTTGGTTGATTCGTTGGCAGAAAGGCAGAGTTCCTTGTTGCTTATTCTTATTATTCTGGCCACCTGATCTTCAGTGTCAGTATGGAGTGAACGTAGGCGGCAGCTGTTGGTGTGATGTATGTCTGTAGTTTGTTGGAAATGCTTTTCGTGACGCGTCAAGTTTCTTAACCATCAAATAGAATCACTGACTTGACATTGGTGTTCAAAATTCGAATCTTGTTCTTTGTGCTGAGTGCAGTAGATCCCACACTGATTTCAGATTAGTGAAAGCCTGTGTTGCTATCTTTCCGATCCTAGTTTGGACATCCTCGTCTGTGCCACCACCGCCTGTAGGTGAAACGATGCAGCCTTGCCTGGGTAGGTGAAAGAGATTACTTCCTTTAGGTTTCTCTTGTTGT